ACTGTAGAAACACGGCAGACTCCATGGACGAGGACCTGCTCCTAATGTAACGAAAAGACAACGATTCTTATTTTTCAGGTGAATGAAAACATCCCAATGAATATTATAACCCATTTCTGCCAATAGATCTTCCTAAATGTTACACACTGACAATAGCAGGTTCCTCTGCTTCTTCCTAGTGCTCCTAATGGCATATGCAAGAATCCACCATCACCATCAGATCTATATCTGACACCCTGGGAATGAGAATTATCGTCTATCTTTCTTGGCTCTGATTGGTTGTTTTCTTTCCGGCCAGAGAAACCTGTTTTTTCCCCCAGATTATCTGTCTCATGTACTACTATCAGGATATAGTGAAAGTTTCAGCAGTAATGACAAAAAGTATTTTTTTTATAAAAAGGTACCTACTGCAGCTTTAAGGTGAAGTATTACAAATCAAAACACTTTCCTAGCACTTCCAATTAAGGGCCAATTAAGGGTAAATACAAAATTAACCTACACAATAAAAAAAAAGACACAATAATAAGGAGGCATACTGTACCAGAGGTGGTTCCTCTGAGTGAAGTGTCAGCTAAAATGAAGACCTGCATCATAGGGGACAGCTGGACCATCACTTTTAAGCCCACCTTGACGCTGATGAAGATGTAGAAGGACGATGGCTTAAAAGCACTGATCTCCGCTGCAGCGTCAGGAGACATTGAAAGAGACAGTGTTACAGCAAATTTGTTCGATCAGCCAGAGAAACTTAAACATAACTGCTAGACTGTAGCTACTCATCTCATGTTCATCCATCACTTATCAATACAAATTCAAAACTATTGTTTTATTCTGCACTTGGTTAGGCTGTGACTCCGAAATGACTGAGGATAATTTTCAGCTGTTTTTATAACATGCTATGTGTCCTCTGTGATATAATTTGAAGTAACTCACGTGTAAACAACGGAAGCTGAGAAAGAATCTGGTTCACATAGACCTGGCCGGATGCCTGAATTTTAACAACCTGTCAGGTAGTAAAAGGCATATATGAATATTTGCTTGGAAAAGCCCACAAAGGAAGATATTTAAACACAGAACATTGTTGTGGCACATTAGTAAAGCACTGAATAGAAATATGTAGATGTCAATGCTTTGTTTTATTTCCAAATTAATTTCTCTTTTTTCATTGAAATGAATCCTATCACTTCATCTAAAATGTGGCCATAAGAGATCATTCAATTCATTTTCCTTTAAAAAAAACAAACAGCAACCCCAAACCCCCCCCAGTATTTCTAAAATTAATTTGAATTATTTTTACATTTGAAAGCATTTAATACCCAACTGGGGTGGCCAGTCATTGTGTTATATTTGCAAGGTCCATTTGACAGGTGATTACCAGTGTGTTTTATGACAGAATAGTAAACAGTATATCTGTGTGCATGTTTGTGTGTTTGTGCATGTGTGTGTGTGGTGTGTGTGTGTGTGTGTGTGTGTGTGTGTGTGTGTGTGTGTGTGCGTGTGTGTGTCTGGAGCTTACCACAGAGTTGCTGTATAAGGCCAGAGTTACAGCTCTGAGGCAGGTCCTACTGTCACCCAGACCACACTTGACCAGGTCAGCCAGCACAGTGTATAAGGAGCCATTATTTTGCTGCAACACACAATGGGACAAAGCTTGAACTTTAACACTGACTGAAAACTAGTGACAGTGTATAGACATCACTCTAGTGGAAAGTGCACGCATTCTTTACTCAAGGTCAAAATGCAGATACAAGACAAAGTGGGAAAAAGCACAGCCTCTGAAATGTACTCAGAGTATAAATGTAACACAAAATGGACATTTGTACTGACAGTTTCTGTGCCAAGCTATCTGAAACTTCAAATAATCTCCAGTCTTAGTCTATTCTTTTTATTTTAATTATATATAAATGGTTAGTTTAAATGGATATGAAACAACTAGAAAATAATAATGATAATAATTTCTGAAGTACAGAAACAGATAATTTGTATGTTGTTACTTTCCATCTCTGCACTCATATTACCAACCACAAACACTGATCTGCTATAGGACACATTCAAATACCTCTCTGTCCTACATACAGTACATTCATTATACATCATATCATGCTACCTTAGCCAGAACGTAGGAGCAGTCCCCGTGGAAGGTGTAGACTTTTCCATCGAAGGTGTTGATGTGAGCTCCTCCCTCCACAGAGCAGGTCCCTGGACAGTTCTCCTCCGTACACGTCCACCGGCCACTCTCGCACACGCTGTCAGCACACACACACACACACACACACAAATTTGTCAGATCTTCTATTAACATTTCAAATAAATTAAATTAAATCAAAACTAAATTAAACTTGTTCTCACGCAGGCTTTACACAAATGCCAGAAGAACACTCCCTGATAAACAGGCTTACATCAGTTTTTCAGCGGTAACACACACAGGGAATGACAGCACTAATGTATTAATTTTAAATATTTTTTGGATTTTTATTGCCTTTAATCAAGGGTGGCAGCTGAAAAGGGATGGGAAAAGAGGGAGAGAGGTAGGGGATGACACGGTCAGAGTTGAACCCATGGTCGCTGCAGCAAGAACTCAACCTTGGTACAATGGGTGCCAGCTCTACCAGGTGAGCTACCAGGAAGCCCAGGAATGAAGACACTAATGTCTCAGCAAATACTGAATACTCTTCATATTCCACCTGCAGCTTCTTAGAAAACAGCCCCACAATGACCCTCCCCCCTCCAGGAAGGACTGACCCCCCCTGACTGGTTCCACCCTGAACATGCATTAACACAAGGGACAAAGCTGGTACAGTAGTTAAAATAGTTCCTTAGGCAAAACATATGATTTGGCAGTGTTTGCCTCCATTAGTAGTTCCGGGACTGAAGACCAGAGGGGCCAATTGTCCTTGTAAAAGTGCTTATCCTAAAATAGCAGTACAGCAGATTTCATATATATTGTAACAGATTATTCTAATGCTGTGGATTCAAGGGGAGTGTGCAATTTACTTAATGGGTTGGAGAAACAAACAACAACATAACGTAACATGATGTTGTAAAACCCTTTATATGTTTATTCCCTTATGGCTGTTAAAACGTCTTAGTACAGTGAATGTTTACTTCGAGAAAAACCTCCAAGTTCATTGTAGATGAATTGAAATGAATGTGGATTTGGTGTAAGTAGGTAAAATTGGGACTTATTACTGATTTGAGCTATTGATGGGATTTCTGTCTTTTATAACTTTATAACCAAATTTAGCAATATGTTGACCTATAATTGGTATTTGTGCACATATATCCCTTAATTTATTCAATCTAACTATACTAAACCTTATGATTTCCAGAATACCAAAAACCAAAAAATGTAATCGGCATAAAACCTTAAATCATTCAAAACATCAAACACCATTATACAGCTGTATAGAAACCTATTTATATTGAACTATGTTTTGTATGTTGGCAACCAGTACAACATACAAAAGTCTCACCATGCGTCTTTTCTGCAATGTTTCTGCATGCTAATGCATCCTATTGTTCTGTCTTATATTAATTTCTAAAAAAGAAAATCTCTCAGTCAGGAGCTGACACCCGTTGTTCGCTTAAAGAGCGAACAACACATCGCTAATTCAAACAAACTCCAAATGTGAGTAGATTGCTATCAATTAGTTCAGACAGAAGTCACATATTTTTTAAATGCACTTGTAGTCATCCCATAACTGTGTCCCAAAGGGAACTCCTCTATATTAGCGTGACACACAGCCAGTTTTTCACACATCATAAAAGGCAATATAATCTGGAACGACGTGAACACTAATTTTATTCATTAACCAACATTTGACCTAATAAACTTAGTAAACAATATAGTAAAGTACAACACACATTGGTAACTCTACAGTCCGCTAATTACCTGGTATTTACTGGATAACTAGATGGTAACAAAATATAGTGAGCAGAGGACACATTGTTAATGCTAAAATTCTTGGTTTGCATTTTCTTTCGTATTTCCATTGTTCTGTTACGGAATGCCTTTTCTTGTGTCTTTATTTGTATATTTATAAGTAATAAAGTTATGTTACTTTAATGGCAGTAGCTCAGTGTGTAGGGACGGAGGGTTGCCGCTTCAAGTCCCACAGACCACCAAAAATGGAATAGTGTTGGGGGACTGGTTAGCTTCCACAAGTGCATGAAAGTGTGCATTTCAGCCTGTGTGTGTGTGTGGGTATAGAAAAAGAGTGAAAAGAACAATTTCCCCTAGGGGATTAATAATAAAGTATAAAGTATATCTTCTTACTGTGATAATTGGATTAGGTTACTGACTCAATCTTTGAATAGGTAATTAGTAAGTAACCCTCCCAACCCTGGGTAACAATCTAAGTGTTACACAGAAGGAAAGGATTACTATTACTTAGGAGTACTAAGTTATTAGCTAGTTAGGTCTTGGAAACATCTAGGAAACTAGATGGTAAAAATAACAAATATCAAGAAAGTACCCAAATAAATGGTTACCAAGTAATTAGTTATTGCTCAGTAGATTTAACTTACTAGGAAATACCATTACTTTCATTGATCTTTCAATACATTGGTGATTGACCTTTACATACTACATGCTGCCAAGTATCCTGTTGTAAGCTTGATCATGTGCCATAGGTGCTTATGCAATGTTTTCAGGAATCAATCATCTCGAAGTTCCATGATTTACTGAACTAAAAAAGTACCATGTTTGTTCCTGGTACGAAATTCATCTTTTTTTGTACTAAACTTATTACGTACTTACACTTAACCAATAACTTTGTCTAGCTAATTCTTTTGGTACTTTCATAAGACTATAGTGTGGTACCATCTAGTTTCCCAGTAAATATCAGGTAATTAGCAGACTGTAAAGTTACCAAACCCTGAGGCTTCAGAAAGCAGCAGTTGTATTAATGCATATCTGACACCTCAATGGAGACATCGGAGGCAGAGCACTAATTGGAAGGTTGTTGGTT